GGAAATCTCTCAGAGTGCCTGCCTTTCTTTTGTCCCAGAGCAGCCAGTTGTGGGTACCTGTTCCTCACAAGTGGCTGGAATCTCAGTCTCTCCAAGTATTCTGCCTCTCTTAGCTTTCCAACTGCACTAATCTTCAGAGCACCATGTAATGTAGGTTTGTGCTCCCAGAGCAGATCTCCAAGGCTGGGTGTTCAGCAGTCCTAGGCCTCCCATCCCCTCCCTGCTCCATTTGTCTTCCTCCTGCCAGTGAACTGTGTTTGGCGAAGGGCTTGGGTCCCGCTGGATCACGGCTTTGGTACTTTATCCTTTTCCTTAAGGTCTGCTCTGTTCCCTAGGTATAGGCAGTATGGCACAGCCTTCTTTCCTGTTGCTCTTTCAAGATTAGTTGTGTTTGCTGTATTTTCATACTATATGTAGTTTTGGGAGGTTTCTGTCTCACCAGTCGTGCCGCCATCTTTAATCCCTGTTCTTCCAGAGCTCAAGATTTTCACAAGCTCTGTCGACAAATATGAGCAGTCAACATTCAAATCCTGATTACCCCATTCCCATTTGATTGCTTTGTGGTTCCTGTAACAGTTTCCAGAAACTACCCTTCGTGTCCATTCAGTTCGGGGAAATGAGTCCATATCCCGTTCCTTAGAAAAACAAGCCAACTCTAGGCAATTCTCCCTCTTCTGGAGCATTTGAGAATGAGATGGTTTTTATAAAAAGAACATTTGGGAACCAGAGAACTTTTCTAGTATATCAAAATAGTAAACACTTAAACTTGAACAATTTAAAAAATAAGACAACCTAAAATCCTACCTCTTTATTATTACAGTATTAACTTGTTCACATATCTATCACTTTGTTTTTACAATGTTGGGATACTCTACCATATTTTATAATTTCACAATTTCCCCCATTTAACACAGTAACATAAACACTGTCTGCCACATTTCAAAAAAGTCCTCATAATCCTGTTTTTTGAAGACTATGCAGTTTTCCATCATAAAGGGTATATGATGATGTAGGGCACATGTAGCATAATCATTAAGCCTTAAGACTCCCTGGGTTACATCCTGACTTACTTTGTGGCTGTGTGACTCTTAGAGACTTAACTTTCCTGAACCTCATTCTCTCCTCTGTGAGATGGGGAAAAGTTTGTTTTTGTGGCTACTAGGAGATAAAATATGTAAAAACATTTAGCACAGTGCTAACATATTAGGCCCTCAGTAAATATTATTTGTTATCTTCATCATTATCACAAATTATGCAGTGTCAGTATCTTTGTACATAGATGTTTTTGCCTTCAGGTCCTTTCTTAAGACTAGATTCCCAGAAGTATTGTCACTGGGCCAGAGGATAAGCTTTTAAATAGCTGCAAAACTAAGGGAAATGCATGATAGTTTTGATTTTTCTTTACTTTCAAATACATATGACCTCTTAAAAGAGATGACATAATGGATTGGCCCAAAGGGCTTATGAACAGAAGAATGTTGGGTCAGCTTCATTACCACAGTCTTGCCTTATGCCTGCTTGTATTTTGCATCACCGCACGGAGCCTTTACCTCAGGCTTGACAAATAATGCCCCTTGAATCTGTGCATCTGAACCTCTTACAAGCGCAGCCTTCTAATTACCCCCCTGTTGAGTAGTTGCTAGCTTTTACCACTAGGCGCTAACTTTCAAAGTGTCAGTGGTTTTGTGACCCTGAAGCACTGGGTGATTAAGTACAGACCAAACGAGATCTGAACACATGTGCATGAGGCCTCAAGCCAGGAGCCGCACTTGCTCTCCAGAGGAGACTGAGCTCTTGTACTGGCACCTCTCTTCCCCTCTCACGAGTCACTGCCCTAGTCCTCTGTAAGAGAAGCCCTCGTGGAGGTTTTGTTGTATCAAATGTTGTTGTTTTGTTAATCCTTTGCTATCTTTGCAGTCCAAGCAAGCCCCACTGATTATGGGACTGAGCTGTTGAGACGGTATCAGGAAAACCTCTCTGAGATTTTCACGGACAACCAGATGCTGCTAAAAATGATCACTCACATGAAGAGTTTAGTCCCTGGAGAAAGAGAGGTAAGAGAGAAAGAAAGAGAAGGCAGAAGGGAGAGAGGGAGGGAGGGTGGAAAATGAGAGAGAAGGAAAAAAGATGAACATAAATGTATTTTTTAAATATATTTATATCTTATATAAATATATATACACAGCCATGCTGAAAAATGTTCAGGGGTTATCAGAGAAGGAGAAATAAAAGGTGATCCCATTTCTAAGGCAAAATGATAAGTAGGATGGTTATAATTTCTGCAATAATAAGGAAAGACATTTAAAAGGAGGAATGAAGAGCTTTGTCATGTATAAAAATCTCTCAGGTTAAGAGAGGTGAAGGATGTTGTAAAACTCCTCCCCAGAAATACTGTAACCCAGTGCTCAGTCTGCTATGAGCCAGTGCTCAGTCCACTATGACCCAGTACTCAGTGTGCTATGACTCAGTACTCAGATTGCAGCTTTGCAGCTAGGCCAGTGGCTAGAAAGTCCCTTACTGTATGTTTGTGCTGCTTCTTGAAGGTCATGGAGAAGCTTTTGAAATGTGACCCTGGTTCAGGTGGTTTCAGTTCTCTGATTTCAGCAGCTCTAGAAAAGCAGACTCTCTCTGCAACAGCCATTTGGCAACTGCTGCTGGCAGCTCAGGAGACAAAGACCTGCTCATTGAACCTGCTCATGGAGGAAATACGAAGGGAGCCTGGTGCCAATGCTTTCTTCCAGGCAGGTAGGTTACCCAACCTCTGTCATGGCTTTGCCCCTCTAGAGGTTATTGTTGGTCTTGCTAGAAATAGTACTTTCTTCTGGTAGTTAGTCTTCCACATCCCACTGGAATAAGGACTGGCAATTTTGTTCAAGGACATGGAGTTTGTAAACCTTTTACGATAAAATACACCATGAATATTCTAAGCTTATTCTAATAATTGTCCTCTCAATTCAGTGCTGTTTGCCATTTTCCTCACTCCCAACCCTAGGTAGGATATAGGTGAAATGTATTCTCATTATGAAGAGCTGAGAAAAGGTGAAAGGAAGAAATGGTGGTCATAGTTTAACTAAGGAGTTTTCAATCTACCTTTCTTTCAGTGACCACTCGAGAAAGTGCTGCCTTAGAGACCATCCTGAGGCACCACAAATTGATCCTAGAGGCCATCCAACAAAGGACTGAACTCAGGTGTTTTACCTCAGAGGAAGAGCACCTGGCAGAGACTGTGAAAGAGGTGTGGTGGGAATAAAAGTCACATTGCTTTGGAGAGTTTTACAGAGTTGATGCCTGGGACGTTCCTAAGAGAAGGACCAACTTCTGTAGAGTGCCTGCTGTGTGCAGAACCCCTAAGACTGTGAAAGAGGTGTGGTGGGAATAAAAGTCACATTGCTTTGGAGAGTTTTACAGAGTTGATGCCTGGGACGTTCCTAAGAGAAGGACCAACTTCTGTAGAGTGCCTGCTGTGTGCAGAACCCCTTGCTAAGCTGACACTTTTTGCTCTTTTAATCCTCCAAACCCTGAGTGGCAGGTGATGTCACACACATTTTACAAATGGGAACTCAGGCTCCAGGGGGTTCTAGGATGCTCCAGCTGGTCAGTGGTGAAGCCAGGATTTGAGCCCAGGTTCATATGACTCAAAGCTAGATGTTTTCCATTTGTCTAAACCTAGGTAAACCCAAAGGGAACCACAATACCACTCTCTAGCATGTCCTAAGAAGCACCTTCTTTCACAGGAAGGAAAGTAAAATTGGTCTTTTACACACTCTATTCTGGCATCTAGAAGGAGCCAAGACAAACATAGATAGAACAAAGTTTTTGCCCATATGGGGTAGCAAATAGTGCCAACTCATTTTCTGTAAGGCTTCACAGTGTGGCCAGAATCCCAGAAAAACCAGGTGGGGACTTGGTATGGAGGGGGGGATTTGTGGATGTCCGGCCCAGGACCACGTATATCAAATGACAAGAATGATAAAGGCTCATAAAATTAAACTAGAGATTCACCTGTAGTGCTTTTATGTCCAAGTAGGTGTGGAAGGTTTCTAACTCTCCATTCAGGTGACAGCTCCACCTTGGTCTGACTCAGATGGTGAGAAGATGGCACTGTTTCTGTGGGGCTTCAGAGGAAAGATGCATCTAGCTAGACTCTCTCCAGTATGCCATGTACTTCAGAGATGGGGCTTCTGCAGTTGATGAGTTTTAGCCTCACTAATTAGTCTCATGCCTGCCTCAAGGGACATCAGGTTTATTCAGACTTGAAAAGAGCAGAAATAAAATATCTTCCAAAATGAAAATTCCATTTGGCCATCTGTAGATGGTTTAGCTTCATTTTCTGTGCACTGACTCTTTCTGCTGATAGTTCTAACATTCTAAAAGATGACGGCTTTGAAATAATATTCTTGGCCTCTTTAAAGCCCCTATTTGAACCTTCTTAAAAAGCTGAGTTTCTTTATGAAAGGAAATGATGTTTAAAAGGGTACATTTAAGTATCTAAAAATGTGAAGCCACTGATCATGCACAATTACTTCCAGGCATTGAGACAATTATATATTATGAAAAACTGTCTCTGTCTCCAAGACAGAAGCACCACCAGCCAAATCCTATGGCTTCCCGAGCTTCTACTGTTGAGACCTGAAACAATTATTGTAGAGACTCCTAGTCTCTGAGAAAATACTCATGTAGAAAACACAATGCTTCCTTGCTTGTACCTTCTTTGTATTCATGCATTTATCTTGACATGAACCTTTTTTTTAATTTTCTTAATTTCCCTGTTGTTTAAGTGCTTTTATGTCCAAGTAGGTGTGGAAGGTTTCTAACTCTCCATTCAGGTGACAGCTCCACCTTGGTCTGACTCAGATGGTGAGAAGATGGCACTGTTTCTGTGGGGCTTCAGAGGAAAGATGCATCTAGCTAGACTCTCTCCAGTATGCCATGTACTTCAGAGATGGGGCTTCTGCAGTTGATGAGTTTTAGCCTCACTAATTAGTCTCATGCCTGCCTCAAGGGACATCAGGTTTATTCAGACTTGAAAAGAGCAGAAATAAAATATCTTCCAAAATGAAAATTCCATTTGGCCATCTGTAGATGGTTTAGCTTCATTTTCTGTGCACTGACTCTTTCTGCTGATAGTTCTAACATTCTAAAAGATGACGGCTTTGAAATAATATTCTTGGCCTCTTTAAAGCCCCTATTTGAACCTTCTTAAAAAGCTGAGTTTCTTTATGAAAGGAAATGATGTTTAAAAGGGTACATTTAAGTATCTAAAAATGTGAAGCCACTGATCATGCACAATTACTTCCAGGCATTGAGACAATTATATATTATGAAAAACTGTCTCTGTCTCCAAGACAGAAGCACCACCAGCCAAATCCTATGGCTTCCCGAGCTTCTACTGTTGAGACCTGAAACAATTATTGTAGAGACTCCTAGTCTCTGAGAAAATACTCATGTAGAAAACACAATGCTTCCTTGCTTGTACCTTCTTTGTATTCATGCATTTATCTTGACATGAACCTTTTTTTTAATTTTCTTAATTTCCCTGTTGTTTTGAACGAAGGCTCTCCACTACATTTATTGCAAGAAATGAAAACTTGTTATAACTGGAGTGATGCCTTTCTGAAATTAGCTTTTTTTTCCTAAGTTGAAAACCATGGTAAAACTCTGCTGATATGAACTGCAAACCTTTGTCTCATGGTATTCATTTAGATTCTGAGCATTTCCTCTGAGACCGCCAGTCCTGGGGCTTCCCTGAGAGCAGTGCTGAGCAGAGCCATGGAAAAATCTGTCTCGGCCATTGAAATATGTCACCTCTTGTGCCGCACCCACAGATCTTTCCCAGGCTTGCAGCCTGTCATGCAGGAGTTAGCACACACTGGTAAGCAATAGGGTGGGTGGGGGTCCTGTCAGGCCCCCAGCTTGTTTCCTTATTGCAGAGAGGAGGCAATAGTTCCTCTAAGAGTTCATACATTACTACCTTACTGATTTTATGTGCTCTCAATATCTAATAGAAAACTTGTAGACGTAGATGTAAAATGATGCTCTTTGTGTATATTAGACAGTAAAGATGACAATGATGTTACTTCAGAGTTTTATGAGGGACCCAACTAGTCTCCAGTCCCCTCTGAGAAGAAAGCTAGAAAAGCAAAATAGAAACAGAATTCCCAGAGCCATGAGAGTTCTCTCCTATGCAGGTTTCCTTACTCAGGACAATGGAGAGAAGGAAGAGTGGAAGGTGAGTAATACATTTCACCATGAAGCCAACGACAAAGCAGATGGAAAAGCAGCCGAGCCCACTGAGGAGGACTGCCGGTCTGGGAAGCAGAGTGAGCAGGGGCAGACCGGCCCCTTGCCAGAACAGCAAGGGAAGGACATGCCTGCCTCCCCGGACACTGCCAAGAAAAGCTTCATCTGTAAGGCCTGTGACAAAAGCTTCCATTTCTACTGCCGCCTCAAGGTGCACATGAAGCGCTGCCGGGTGGCCAAGAGCAAACAGGTGCAGTGTAATGAGTGCAGTGAGACCAAGGATTCTAAGAAAGAGCTGGAGAAACATCAGCTGGAGGTCCATGGTGCAGGCGGAGAGCCCAACGTCCCCAAGAAGAAGAAGAAGAGGCTTCCGGTGACGTGTGACCTCTGTGGCAGAGAATTTGCCCATGCCTCAGGTACATTCCAAAGGCAAAGTAATAGAGGGTGGTAACCTGGATATTGTAGTTTGGAGCCCCACTCTAGCTGAATGCAGTAAGGGCTGTGGATGGGCTGAGAAACCAGGGCAGGTTCCCCTGCAGGCAGGGTAATGTTTTGAGAAATGCTCTTTGAGAAGTGACCTTGGAATCAACTGTCTGAGCTTTAAGTTGCCCATCTGTTAAATAGGCACTCTGATTCCACCTACTTCTCTAGATTGATGATAGTATAGTTCCACGCCTAGTACAGTGCCTACAGTAGAGCTCGTACTCCCCAAGTTAGTACTCAGTAGGTCATGATAACAACCAGCTATGTAACACCTGACTCTTAGGTTTCCATGAATCCCTTGGTTCTTGATAAAAAACATGAATCATGGAAGCTGTGGAATGTAAAGAGAATTGGTTCCCCTTACCTCAGATGGTA